ATGTCATGCATTCATCAGGATTCTAGACACAATATTTTTATGTGGTTACCAATAGTCACACCTAAGTCTCACTTAAGCTATGATTATCCTTGTTAATTCCAGAAATTACACAGAACTCAAATTTCCTCCTTCGTATTTATCACATGGAGTGCTCACTGTGGGTTGGGTATGCTTCCTACCCCCAAGAGTAGTTTGGGCAAATGGCTAGCTTGGTAACTTAGAAGAATTCAAAGACACAGAAGTGGTTTATTTTTAGAGGCTATTAGGGTTCTGTGGTTGGCCCTATTGAGTATTTGCATTGTTGATTTCTTTGAACACAAAGAAGAGATGTTTATCAAGTTCATGGACATAGTATACCTGTATCTAGGAGAAGTAACACGTTTATAGGTGGCGTGATCAGAATTCAAAATGTCCTCAACAGGCTGAAGCACAAATGAAAAAATGACAAGAAAACTAATAAAAATAAATGCAAAGTCCTGCATTTAGGTACACGGAGTCAGCTACTCAAATGCAATCACAATGGTTCATATGAAAAAGACTTGTGGGTTTTAGTTGACTCTGAGCTTAAAGTGTTGGCACTTTAATGTTCAGGGCTAACTAACATGAACGTTTGCTGCTCTTTTGAAATCAATGTTGGGCCGCAATGACCCTGTTGTGGAGGACTGTGGAGTTCAAACGAATGCCTCAGAAGAGAGAAATGTCTGTGGGGGCGGGTATCAAGATGGCAAAGTGCCCACAAACAGTCTAACTTAAGAAATACTTACAACAGAAAAAGAAACAACCCCAAAATATTATAGATGTGTTCAAAACTGCCAAGGACTGTGAAGTTAAAAATGGAGAGCACAGGTTCTGTCTGTTCCAGAGCCCAAATGCCAATGTAACATGAGGTACTTCTCAGGACTGTGTCTTCCAGTGGTGACACAGGGGCTTGGGCTGGCATGAGCTTCTCGTCTTTGTCCCTGGAAATTTTCATGGCAAGGTGGCCTTGGCATCCCCCAGACATATGCATAGGAGAGAAAAAGGCTCTCTTCTTGGTGCCTACCCTTCATGGCACCTATGTTCTTGCACAGGACAGACTTCTGTCACGGAATTTTCTGTTTCCTTCTAAGAACACGCTTCTAATTTTATCAAGGAAGGTAGTGGGGAAAAAATGGGATTTGCATTATACGTATTTGCCCTGCAACTGCATTGGGTATAAAACATATATTTACAAGAACAAAAAGGTTAGTCATACACAAGCTTTGAGCTCTCTTGCCAATGGAGAGCCCAGACCTTGCCACGTGATGTCACAGGCACAAGGAGCCGGGATTGTCTCACAGGTTGCCATCGGAAGAAATCGGGATGGAAGCATGACCAGTCCATGTAGTCTCCTCCATGCTGCCATATCCCAGCCCACTGGACAACAGATTAGTTGAAATTTCAGCAGGAAGGAAGTTGATGTGACTCTTCCCCCCCATAATAGATGCTCTGTTGAGTAGTGTGTGCCGTGCTGTGACAATTCATTCCTGCACTTGTGACAGGACCGCCGGCTGATTTCACTATGCTCAATTAGGAAAAAACGCATATTTTAATCTGCCCTGTGGTGAGGTAACACTTTCCTCGGTGGTCTTGGCAGACCGGTCATTTAACCATTTAGGTGGGTAGTGGTGCCTGCTCCAGCCTGTCATTCTGGTGCCAGCAGCCTTGCTAGTCTTGTTTGGTTGCCAACACTACCCGGGTTTCAGAGGACAAACAATTAAAGACCACTCCATCATTCTTGCAGCCACAGTGCTGCGGCCCGGCCCTCTTCAGCAGTGGCCGCCATCCTGGCTGTTAGAGACAGGCTGAGTGCTGTGTACACAGCATGGTGAGTGCCTCTCTCTCCTTCTTGGCCTGGGGGTGGGGAGCTCAGCATGGAAGCTACCCAGGGCCTTTCTGCCCCAGGCTGGGAACAACACTCAGGGCCTGCCTTTGCTGGAATTGGGGAGGCTGTGCTGGCCACCGGTTCACCTCTGGCGTTGGAGACCAGACCCATCCTGTTAGGCTCACTGATGACAATTCCTTGAACTGGCCAGGCCCACTAAACCATGGCCTCCAGCACCTTTATGGAGAGCAAAATTATGCTTTTTTAAAAAATTATTTTTTGCCTAGGCACAGTGGCTCATGTCTGTAAGCCCAGCACTTTGGGCGGCCGAGGCAAGAGGATTACTTGAGCCCAGGAGTTCGAGATCAACCTGGGCAACATAGTGAGACCTCATCTTTACAAAAAATTAAAAAATTAGTTGGTGTGGTGGCTCATGCCTGTAGTCCCAGCTACTTGGGAGGCTGAGGCAGAAGGATCGCCTGAGCCCAGTAGGTGGAGGCTGTGGTGAGCTGGGTTGATGCCACTGCACTGTAGCCTGGGTGACACAGCAAGACTTCAACTCAAAATAATAATAATAACAATTATTATTATTATTATTAAATGCATGAGATGATCTCCTTAACATCTATTCTTCCTTTCTTTCCCCCTTCTTTTTTTCTCTCTGACCTTCAGATCCCTTGATTCTTCAAGTCTATACACAGCATCTTGGACGGAGGTGGGGTGAGTCCAGGAAGCCCATCACAGCTGAGCCCCCCATCCTGGAGAAGACACTTGGAAAGGTGCTTCTGAGACTTAGACAGACCTGGAATTTGGTCTTGGAGGTTTCACTAACCTGTTTATGTTATTTCACCTCTCTTAAGTCATAATTTTTCTCATTTTCAAATGGGAAGAATGACAGTCCTGGTCTCGCTGGGTGTCTGAGAATGATATACACAGATGCTGATGCTGATCCACCTCTTTCCCTGGTTCCCAGGTAGCACTGAGATAGGCACCTCATTTAATTCATGTAAACACCCGATAATTAGTCCAACTAGCTCCCATACAGGCGGAGACTGATCCCAACCCCACAGAGCTAGGGAAGAGCTCAGCGCTGGGCCAGGGCTTAGCACTGGATAAAGGTTTGCTTTACTAACTCCCAAACCTCAAAAAGGTCTGGACAGAGAGAAGGCAAGAGCCCTGGGAGGGCGGAATTTCACCATGCCAAAGTTGAGTGCCCCTTCTCCATCAATAAAAGTCAAGCAACTTCTCAGAGCCAAGTGCCATTTTGAAAATAGGAAGGATCTCCAGAATTTTCATTGTTCCCGCTTTTTGAGCCCACTCTTCTCAAATGGTTTCTTCCAACTCTGCAGCTGACAGCCTGGGGTGGGCCTCAAGCCATTAGCTGAGCCCAAGTCCAGATGCTCTGGGTTTCGTGGGTGGAGCCAAAGTTACTGAGCCCTTTGTGTGAACTTGCTAAGGACCAAGACCAGGCCATGGGGTGGGGATCAGACAACCGTAAATTCTGTGCAAGATCACCCATTTCTGATTCTCTCATAGAGCCTGTGACTTGTTGCTTCAAGGGCCCTTCACTAAATCACCACTACTCAGGGGCAGGAGGCACCAGCCCCCAAATCCAGGGCTGCTTCTCTAAGTAGGGGTCACAGGCACACACTAGCCTCTTCCTTTCCTCCTCACTTCCTTCTTGGCCTAGCAAATCAGCATTAAAGGATCACGGTCTCTAAAGGAGTCCCAGGGTCCCATTGGTGAGGCTGAAGAGGAGAAACCAACATCAGGCCCACCCACGTCTCCCCTGAAATGGGTGGGGCCGCCACAAGGCATGCTGGGCGACCAGGCCAACAAGTTGAACGTTCCAGGCCGTCATTTTCACCAGGCACCGCAAGACTTCTTTCTAGAGATGAGTGTGTCCATTCTTCCTTGCTGCAAAATTAATCCTCATAGCTGCACGGCCTTTCCTATGAGACCTGAAACTGTCTCCCACTGGTACCACTTTTCCTGCAACGAATCCCTGTTTTGGGGCTGTGTCACATTCGTGTTTCCACGGGTAGATACGTGTGACTTAGTTTGGGGGATGGGAATGGGTTCTGCACTTGAACTTGTAGAATGCCTCTTGGAGCCTGCCCCGGGAGCCCCCAACTCAGAGCATTTTCTTCTGTGGAGGGCCCAGGCTCCTTGAGGAAAAGTTACTGCAAACTCAGCAGGCCAAGACCCCTCCAAAACTGCTTTGGAACACCTCATTTCTTATTCACTTTGTACATGGTGTGATTTATTTTCCTTTAAAGTTTAATCTGGGGCATTGCCCTGCTAAAAATGAGCGGAAAGGAGAGAATGAGTCATCACGTGTGCTCCATCTAGGCTCAGAGTGGGGCGGTGTGCTCAGAATGCCCCGGAGCGTGGTTTAATGCTCTGCTGTTATCATCTTAAAATCTGAAAAAATTTTTTTAACAAAGTGGTCACAAATTACATAGCAGGTCCTGAAGAGAACAAATATTTATTGTGCACTTACTGCATTCTAGGGCAATGGCTCTCAAATTTTGCTGCTCGTTAGAATCATCTGGGAAAGATTTGAAATCTTGCTGCCCAGGTCAAACTTCAGACCCCTGAATCAGAACGTCTTAGAGTGGAAGCCAGGTCTCAATATTTTCTGAAGATCTCCAGCCGTCCTGATTTTAATGCAGCAAAGCTTGGGGGCCACTGTTCCAGGCCATGCGTGATAATGTTATTACTTACATTAAGCAGATAAGGATAAGGACACCGAGGCCCAGAGATGTTGAGCAGTGTGCCCAAACTCACACCCTGTCACAGAAGATGTCAGGATCTGAACCCAATCCAATCTGACTCTATACCTCAGTTCTTTCCATTCAACCACACGACTTAACCAGCCTAGTCTGCTGTCAGCTAAATGTGGCCATTCTTGGATTCTGCCAGTTTCTGAATACTGAGAATTCTGTGTGGGACGTGTGGGCAGATATCCAAAAGCTTCCCACAGCTTGCCAAGCCGCAACCACCTGGAGCTGATTCTGCTCTGAAGAGATGTTTCTGAGTGTTTCCCTGCTGAAGACTGCCATCCCCTCAGGGAAAGACACCTCCTTTCAGCGAGAGTCATCTGGCCTCTTCGAGAATGCTCTGCATTTGCCCTTCACGGGGTACCACTCTCTACCTCCTCCTCGACCCATCATGGGCTACTTCAGAGCCCCTGAGTCTGTAGGACATCAGAGTCAACTCTGTTCCTATGCAAGCATCACTGACATCTGCTTGTTCTTTCATGTTTGCCTTTTTCTAAACAAGGACTTTTGCACAAATCCCCAGAATTTCTTTCCCTTCACATTTACTTGCTCCATGTCCAATTCCTGTTTCTGACCCAAGTTTTCCCCTCTGCCTGGGCCAACCCAGCCCAGGTTGGCTTGATGTGGGGGCTGGGGTGGGGGACAGGAGTGGGGATCTGGTGGCTCTGGGGCTGCCACTATGCCTTCAGCTGCAGATGTGGCCTCCTGTGAAGCCACCCTCTTTTCAATATGCTTCTTGCTACCACACCTCTGCCCCTGGTGGGATACACCCAACCTAGGAAAACAGCAAACATGTTGGGAAAACCTCCTCTCACCTACAAAGGCAAGATTTCCGGAAGGTACCAACAGGCCTATGAGATGACAGGCCACAGCCCCTCAGCACCCAAGCGTGTGGCTTGGAAGCCATGCGTCCTCACAGCCTGAGGTGAGTTTTCTGAGCTTGGCTTTCTCTCTCTCTCCCCCGCCCCACCCCCCGTGGAAGTTTGAGCTTTCTTCTCTCTTGTGCCCATGTGATTAAATGGCCAAGGTGGATTCCTTGTGCCACCATCAGTTCAGATCCTTCCAAGTGGGGATGCTGGGGGCTTCCGAGGGCATGGAGGGTTTGAAGCAGAAGGGTCTGAGGAGAGCTACACAAAGAAAGTTGATTATTTATTTATTTATTTTTTTGAGTTGGAGTCTCACTCTGTTGCCCAGACTGGAGTGCAGTGGCCGCTTCCGGCCACTGCAGCCTCGACCTGCTGGGGCTCCGGCGATCCTTCCACCTCAACCTTCCAAGTAGCTGGAATTACAGGTGCGCACTACCACGCCCAGCTAATTTGTTTATTTATTGTAGAGATGAGGTCTCACCAAGTTGCCCAGGCGGATCTCGAACCCGCGGGCTCAGGCAATCCACTCACCTCAGCCTCCCAAGGTGCAGGATTACAGGCTGAGCCACCAAGCCCGGCTAGAAAGTTGATTATTAACAGCAAGTTTCCTCAGGTTTAATTTGAGTATTTGGAAAAAGAAAGAGTCTAGATTAAGTAGGTGCTCAGGGATTATTTACCTTCCCCATATAATGAGCCATTACACTGAACAAAGGTGTGGTCCCAAAGAGTCTGCTTGACAGCTAGTTTCCAGCGATGAGAGGGACATCCGTACTGACTGGGATCATAGGCCCCAGATGAGGCCTATGCTCTCATCCAATGATAGAGACCTGAGAGGACTGGGATGGTGCCATGGGTCATGGTGAGGCCTGTGGCTGTGGTTGTCCATCAGAGTCAAGGTGCCCAGGAAAAGGCACCCCTCACCTAGGGCTCTGAGTGTACCCCAGAAGATGGGGACCCAGGCCTGGGGACCATGCAGAGCATATCAGTCCATGGCCGTGATGGGCCCAGGGGCCCTCACTCTGCTTCTTCCCCTCCCTCACGACTCCTGCTCCCCCTGGCTTGCTCCCAGTGACCCTCCAGCCCGCAGCTGCAGCTAGGTTTTGAGTCTGGTTTTGAATGAACCCGTCATTCGGAGATTCCAGTCATTGCTTCAACATAAAGCTGGTCTAGATGGTCTGTAAGGTGCCGGGCAGCCCCATCTGAAGTCCAGGCCTGTGACGAGCCCCAGTGGTCCAACTGCCAGGACCCCGGGGAGGGCTCAACCACTCCCAGCTCTGCCCCCTTTGCCCTTCGAAGTCATGAATGCATGTGTTCTAAAGCAGTGAGTGACCCCTCATTCATGTCCTTTGCACTGGCTGTGGTCACAGGTGCTTTATGCGCGTGTGAGCCCAACACGACCAGAGCCTGGCACATCCGTGATGAAGCGAGCATTGTCTCCAGCAGCCTGCAGGGTTTAACACTGTTTTGAGGATGAGTTTGTTGAGAGAAGGGAATACTTGCTTGCAGATCCTGAAAATATCATCAGCTGTTCAGTCTCCTGGTGTTTGGGGGAGTTTTACCTGCTTCGACCAGGATGCTCTGCAATTTCATGATGAGGAGAGAGCTGACTCTGGGGAGGTGATTGTAGCCACTCTGCTCCCGCACCCTCTGCCTGCAAAGAGGTCCATGACCTCTGGGAGATAGAGGCCCCATGCACGCATGGAAGTTTTGGTGTTTGTTTGTTTGTTTGTTTTTGAGTCAGAGTCTCACTTTGTCGCCCAGGCTGGAGTACAGTGGCACAATCACAGTTCACTGCAGCCTCAACCTCTCAGGTTCAGACAATCCTTCTGCCTCAGCCTCCTGAGCAGCTGGGACTACAGGTGCACAACACCACGCTTGGCTAATTTTTTTATTTTTTGTAAAGACGAGATTTCACTATGTTGCCCAGGCTGATCTCGAACTCCTGGACTCAAGCAATCAATCCTCTTGCCTCAGCCTCCCAAGGTACTGGGATTATAGATGTGAACCACCACTCTTGGTTCTGTGGTTTTTTTTTTTTTAAAGATAAGCCTTAAAGGCCACGTTGCCACTTTCTTCCCACTAAGCTGCAAACAACCATGTTTTGCCAGAGAGCAGCTTCAGTTGTTAAAAATTATGTTTGCTATTTCTTGGATAGAATTGTCCTCACAGATATTTCTGAGTGTCCGCGTTGTGATGCAAGGATTCAACCAACCTCTCCTGGTCCAGGCTGAGGCCAGCATGGAAGACCTTCTCTTACCCATGGCCAGCTGCAAGTGCATGCAGTTTTTTACTCTTCATGTTAAGAAAAAGGAAATGATGTTTTAGGAGGGTTATGAGTATGACACTCCTTGGGTCAATATACCCTCTGGCTTTTCATCTAACTGAAGGAGAGATATTGACAGTACAGTGAGTGGAATTCCCTTTAGAATTTTCTAGGTTTCTAATAACTCTTGTCACCTTGTCTTTGTTACATTACAGGTTGTGCATCTGTGTGTCCCATCACAATTTAACTAAAATGTGCCCGGTTTCAGTGTCGGTGGAAGATTCAACAAGGCCGTATCTAATGGAATTGCAGAGCACAGCAGTATTAAACTCAAAGGTGTCTGACACATTTGCTAACAAATGTCCCCCTCTGAGTCCACAGGGGGAAGTGTGTGGACAGGTCTCGGGCGTTATTATTCCGGCAGGTAGCTTTAATAGTTGGAATCAGCCACCATACGTTCTTCCCAGACATCCTAGTATCTTATTAGAAATGCAGTAAATAGAATTTAATGCAATTGAAAAGAAATCCAACAGACTCCAACCTAGAAAATGTCATTTCAGGAAAATAGCAGCGACTTACAATGTACTGCCCCTAAATTGGAAAATCAGTTTTAGAACATCGTAAACTTTTAATTGCCTGCAGCCTGAAGCAGGCTTAAAGCAGAGAGGAGGGGAAGGGGAGCCCATGTCAACTGAACACCTTCCCCTCTGCGCCAGGCACGGTCATGTTCTTTCATGTCATCCTCACAACTGCCAGATGAGACTGGAGTTACTTTCTCTGAGTTATAAATGAGGACATTGAGGCTCAGCAAGGGAAGGATCTTGCCCAAGGTCACCGGGTAGGAAGTTGCAGGGTTTGGATTTGAAGTCAGGTCCATCTGGCTGCAAAACCTGTTATCTCTGAATCTGCCGTGAAACATATGCATGGGAACATTTCCTTTCTTCCACAAATCGACTCCCACGACTGCCACTTAGGCAGATCCAGAAAATGGTGACTGTTTCTGCTTCTCCAGGTTTCAGATTCACTCGCAGCACATGAAACATTGTGCTCCTTGCTATGAGAGAGAGGAAAAAGAAGGCTCGGGAGGGTCTGCTAACTTCTTTCTCAAGTGCATTCTGACAGACATCACTTCAATCAGCTTTTCCAGAACATATTTGAAAAGCAGTTTTAATATGCAAATTCCTCCTCTCCCCACCTCCAGAATCTCAACTTCCTTTCTAGATTTATCTTTGCCAATTACCCTTCCACTCCTCCCACCGTGGCTTGCTCTAGATTTGATATTTCTTATTCCCTGACAAATCTTGCAAGCTTTGACTGAAGTGGTGTCTCCATACCCAACCACCCTTTTCTCCAGGCATCATTCATTCACGCAGCCAGTGTTGTCTGAGTGTCATCGGTGGCTGGCAGAACAGAGCAAGTGCACATTCTGAATAGATATGATGACCAAGATACGGTTCTAAATGTACAGACAATCCCACAAATTGCAAGACCAGTATCTTCCTCTCTTGTACGTCACTCCTTGTGTTTGCACTTTTTGGTGTCTTAGCCCAGTGTGTCTGGCTTTGGAGGTGGGACGGGTCTGTCTGCCCTCTGTGCAGAAGTTCCCAGAGTGGGTTTCATGCTGCACCCACAGAGCCCAGCACAGTGCTGGTGTTTTGAGAACAGTGGGCATCCAGCGAACATTTTGTATTTAATTACATTATTTCAGGGTCCCCAAAATATTCTCCCTAAAGCCACCTACTCTGTGAAATTCAGAGTTGAGAAAGTTCCAGAAACTGTAGTCCTGGGCATAGACGACCAATCAGATTGCATAAACAACAAAAGCCCTGTCCTCCAACGGCAGGTTACTGGAAGCTGTACCTTGACTTTGCAGTTCATTTTGCTCACGTAGACGAAGAACTCAAGTCCAAGAAAGACCAATTTGCAAAACAGTGGCTCCAAGATATTTTATTTGCTATGTGATGCCTTGTAGGGGGGTGAGAAAATGAGCAAGACCAGCCGACACTGGGCCTGCTCTCCCCTCTGCTGGCGCACCCAGTGGAAACACGTCTCTGGGAGAGGTGGCTGTGGCCCCTGGTCTGGAGGGCTGCAGGCGATGTTCCTTCAGCCTGGGCTCTGAGGAGAAGAGCGCCATGGGCACACATGGTGCACAGCTGCTGAACTGCACAGCACCCAGGAGCATCAATGAGCCCAAGCGACGCCTACTATGTCATGCTAAATCACGTCCCGCAGCTTCTTGGATTTGAGAGACAGTGACTGGGCCAGTGGGAGCTGCCACATTTCTTTCTTTTCATTCCCTTTTACTTTCTAATTATTTTTTTCTAATGGTTCCTTGATGAAATAATCTGTTCA